TCCACCCTGCTCACCAAGCTGCCACAGAGCCCAGCCCAGGGCGAGCTGAGAGCAGGCACTCCAGATTTGTGGAGAAGATAAACCCATGCCCCCTCTATCCATCATTACTCTATCACTCTTCCTCCACTCATTCTCTCGCTCACTGAGGGCCTCCAGGATCAGCACCAGGCGATGCTACGATCCATCCTGCTCCCTCCCTCTCCACCTCTCCCCTGCATGCCTTGGCTGAGTGCCCCATCAGATGCCAAGTCTCGGCAGCTCTTGCCCTGCCAAACCTGGTTCCTGGCTCCTGCCAAGTGCACACCCCAGTGGACATCCTGTTTCCCTCCCTCCTTCTTCCTGCTCTGCCCACATGTCCTGGGCCAGATACTTATGAAATCCTATGAGTTCTTCCATCACCAGGCTCCTGATGGCCTGGTGCCCAGGGCTTGGCTTTGAGTCATCTGCTCTGGGGTTTGGCAGGGCTGGGGCAGGAAGTTCACAGCCCTCGGTGACACTAACCCAGGCTGACTTGGAGGGAGGCCAGAGTCCCTGGTTGCATCACCACACACCCACGGAGCACACCTGTGCACAGATATGTGAGGATGTGGCCTGGGAGAGGATGTGATATGTCCAAGGTTACAGGGGATGTCAGTGTCAATGTGGGAATCCAACCGTGGCACATCTGTTCATTCAGGAACACAACTGCACAGCAATGGAGCCAGGCTGCACTGCCACATGTCGCTGGGCCAGGGTTTGAAGCCCAGCCATTTACCAGCTGTGTGAGCTTTGGAAAGCCACTTCACTTCTCTGAGCCTTATCTTTACTTATTTGCACATAGTAGATGCTCAATAGATGTAGCTGCTGAAAAAGATAACCAATAGCAGGGTAAGTCCAAGTACTCAGTTACCAGTATGTCTACAGTCATATATCATCATAATGTACACGCCTGTTGGTGTGCATGTGAATGTATATGGGTGCACACCTATGCATGTAACATGCTTATCCAAGGGCTTGTATAAGGCCCGCCAATTTGCATATGGATGCACGTGTCTATGAGGTCATTTGGGCTGATCATTTTTTGCCCAAAATGCACACTAGTAGAGTGGTTTTCCGGAGGATTTCCTGAGCTCTTGTCATGGGCAGGATTTGGTGTTTATCTAGGTAGACATGCATATGCTTGCCTGTGTCTCTGTGAACCTGTGTGAGGGGTAATGAGTACGACCCCCATCCCTTATCAGGTTGGTTAGTTGGTAGAATCTGTGAGGATGGTGTCACCTCTGTATGGATGGATGCCAGGGGTTTGGGGCATTCTGAACCCGGATTGTTTGAGTTCAAATCTCACCTGCATAACCTTTGACAAGATGCTTAAACATTCTGTGCTCAATTTCCTATTCTGTGCCTTGGAGATAATGTTAATCACTTTATGGTGGTCTGATGACTAACAGAATGAGTTGTGTGAAGTACTGACAAGTGCTATACCTCTGCGTCTGTCCTCTGTGATAGATGATTTGCCTTCTGATAGGGTGCTCTCACCCTATTAGCTCTCCATTGCCTCTCTGCTGGACTGTCCTTTCCACTAGACTGGGAGTCCCGGGAGGCCAGGGCCATGTCTGAGTCATCCCCAATTATAACCTGTGCATTGCCTGCTAGTCCTGACCCTCAGACTTCTCCTTCATAACAATGGCTGGCATTTATAGGGCTCTTCTATGTGCCAGGCACTGTGCTAAGCTCGTTGGATCTTCAAACAATTCCAAGAGATTGGCATCTTTTTGGCCCTATTTTAGAGAAAAAGAAACGGAGGCTCAGAGAGGTTAAAAATTGCCCAGGCTCACACAGTGGCTTGAACCCGGCAGACCGCCTCACTCTCGGCCTGATCTCTGCATAAGATTTGAGATGAAGACTTTAGGGTGTGAATGTTGCATCTCCTTCTTAGTGTTCTCTCTCTCTCTCTCTCTCTCTCTCTCTCTCTCTCTCTCTCTCTCTCTCTCTCTCCATCTCACTAACACCTGCCCCATATGAATATCCCCACGTTTCTCTTTCTCACCTTGGGGCACCTCAGCTCCCTGCCCAGGCACAGCGTCCCCAGAGGCCAGGCAATGCTCCATATCATTCCTTCTTTGGTCCAGTTGGGGGTGAGGTGGAGGAGCTCCTCTGAGGCTGGTCAGTAGGGAGGAGGGAGGGAATGCAAGACTTAGCAGGAGCAAGGGGCAGCCTCTGGGGAGTGTGGGGTTGGGTGCCCAGGCTCTGGCATAAAAATGGAGCAGAAGGTGCCTCCCTCCCCACCTCAGAGAAGGGAGGGAATGCAGGATAGAGGGAAAAGAACTTCCCTCTGAGGTCGAAGAAGGTGTCAAACTGCTGAGCTGCCATCGTTTTGAAGGACACCAGAGGGTGCCCTGAGGCAGCTAGAAGCTCTGTGTCTATTTAGTCCCCCCATGTGCCCCTGGGTCTCCAGGGGCCACCAAGGCCCAAGGTCTTGTGTATTCTGCCCTTGTTGGGTGGGGCGCCTTATATATGTCAATTAGGTCAAGTTGGGTGATAGTGTTGTTCAAATCTTCCCTAACCTTACTGATTCTCTGTCTACTTGTTTCATCATTTATTAAGAAAGTATTGAAATCTGTTCCACGGCCTGGAAACTCAGGGAAGTTGACTGGAACAACTGTAGAAATGAGGAAAATTTATTCTCATTCATTTATTTCCTGGCCCATTCTTTGGTTCTTTCAAGTGGGAGAATAAGCCTGATTCCTATTACTCCATCTTGGCCAGAACAACTGTATTATTTTTAACTTTATGGGGGAAATAATTTTAGATTTATAGAAGAGTTACTAAGACACTACAGACAATTCCTAGATGCCCTTCAGCCTTGTCTCCTTGCCTTTCCTTATCTTTCGTGCAACAATTATTACTGTGGCATGCAATTTCTTATTTCTCTCAATCTTTCTGTGTCTATTAATTGAAATTCTTCTGTAAGAAAGATAAATCCCTTCTCCCCATTTATTAAATGCATTCAATCAAATATATTATTTTTAAAATTTTAAAGAAATATATTTTAGAATGAAATATGCTCCCATGGTTCAACATTTTAAATGGGTGCAAGTCTCCCTCCCACTCTTGTCCCCTCCCCAGGGACAACCAAAGGCAATAGAGATTTCACACATGCACAAGCAAGGTCCATACATCTTCTTTTTACACAAATGGTTTAGAAGAATTCTAAAAGATGCTGCACCTTGCACCCTTTCACCTAACAGTGTCACTTAGCGAGCAGTGTAGCTCAGTACGTGAGGCGCTTCTTCATTCTTTTACATAGTGTCCCAGTGTGTAACTGTACCGGGATTTATTACTTAGTCGCCTGTCAATGAACATCTAGGTTGTTCCCAAATGTTTTCTGAGACAAACAATGCTGCCATGTCCAACATATGGAATTGAACCTATAGATAGACCCGCCCAAGAGGGAGGGGTCAAAGGGCATGGGTGTTTGCCAGGTTGATATTGCCACACTGCCTCAGGCTGCTCCAGCTTGCAGCCTGCTTCCTAACAGCTTACAGGCTGTACACAGGGCCCCATACTGTGTGGCTTAAAACAACAAAAAATTATCCTCTCACAGTTCTGGAAGCTAGAGGTCTGGAAAATGTTGGCTTTTACTCTGAGTGAGGTGGGAGCCATGGGTGGGCACTGGGCAGAGGAGGGACAGGACCTAAGTTGTGTAATAACAGGATTTACCTGGCTGCTCTGAAAAGGTTAGACTCGGGGGATGGAGAAGCAGGAAGTGAGGGGACCAGGGAGAAGCTGGTAGGTAACCCAGGTGAGAAGTGTGGTGGCTGAGGCGAGGGAGCTAGCTGTGAGGCTGGGCACAGGATGTATGTCCAAGGTTGAGTTGACAGGACTTGCTGATGGTTGGATTCAGGCCGTGAGGAAAGGGAGGAGTCCAAGATGACTCCAAGGTTTTGGCTGGAGCTACGGGGAGGCTGGAGCTGCCATTCTCTAAGGCCGTGGTTCTCAACCTTCTGGCCCTTTCAATACAGGTCCTCATGTGGTGACCCAACCATAAAATTATTGTCGTTGCTACTTCACAACTGTCATGTTGCTACTGTTATGAATCGTAATGTAAGTATCTGATATGCAGGATGGTCTTAGGCGACCCCTGTGAAAGGGTCGTTCGACCGCCAAAGGGGTCGCGACCCACAGGTTGAGAACCGCTGCTCTAAGGTGTGGACAGCACACGGGGTTTATTAAGCACCGAGAGCAGGGCCTGGGCGCTGGCGAGTATAGCTAACCCATGGGTTAGCTGTTCATATGGCTGGAAGAGATTCCATCCCTGAACTGTCCTTGCCCTCCTTCCCTCTCAGGGATGGGGCAGTAGGTTGGCAAGATGGCTGAGAAATTTCCTTCCCATCCAGCAAGCATTTAAAGTCTCCCTCAGGAAGCCTAGGCAAGTGGCTTCACCTCTCTGACCATGAGTTACCTCACCTGTAAAATGGAGATAATAACCTCCTTCCTCGTGAGAAACAAATGAGAAATAATGGACTTCAGTGCCCAGCACACATGGCAGTATCTTCCCTCCCTCCCCACGCCCCAGTGGTCAGGAAGAAAAGACGCAAAATCAGTATCCACCCCAGCTGTTTATTGAATAGGAAGGTGGGATGGAAGAGGTGCAGAATGGGGAGACGATCTGGGGCACAAGAGCAGCAGGGCCTGCTTGGTGGGGGAGGACTGGGGATACCCACCCCCCAAGGTGGCCCCAAGGCTGGTGGTGACAGGGAGCCCAGAGGGTAGGGGCGGGGTCCACGGAGGTCTCTTTCCAGCTGTCTTGGAGCTCCCCCTGGTGGCGGAGAATGGAGATGATGCATCACCTGTGGGTGATGGTTTCTGTGGAAGGGACTATTTTTATTATTTAATGTCTATCTCTCCTTTTTTTTTTTAATATATTTTTATTGATTTTGGAGAGGAAGGGAGAGAGTGAGAAACATCAATGATGAGAGAGAATCATTGATCAGCTGCCTCCTGCACGCCCCCTACTGGGGATGGAGCCTACAACCTGGGCATGTGCCCTTGGCTGGAATCGAACGCAGGACCCTTCAGTCCGCAGGCCGACACTCTAAACACTGAGCCAAACCAGCAAAGCTGGGTGGGGGACTTGAGGAACAAAGACAGCCTAGTTCTCCTGCCCCCTGGCCCTTAGAGGCCATTTAAATGCATGTTCACAGTATTTTCTTAGCCACCTGGGACACCAGGCTTCCAGCTAGTCTCTCTGGGCCGAGCCTGTCCCCAACCCCTGGGGGGTCCCAGGAAAGCCAGAAAGACGCAGGGCCCTGCTACAGCTATAGAACAGGAGCTGGCCCAGGAGGAGTCAGGAAACATGGAGCCTGCAGACGGCCAGCCTCCCTCAGCACCTCATCTGTTCACTGGAGCTAGTAATAGCTCAGGATGGGGTGGATAGGGAGGAAGGCTCTGATGCCAAAACGCATGAAGAAAACAGACTGTAGGGAGCCACTGTTTCTGTGCCACCCTGGACAGGAAGTCCAATGAGCATCTTTGACTCATCCTGAGGCATCCTGTGCAGCTGAGAGAGGGCGGGGTCAATGGATGAGAATGACACCCACGTTTGCCTATAGAGGGTAATGCTTACATCAGGGGAGAATAGGAAAGTCATGGAACTCGAGAATCTGGCCCAAACCCCTTTTACTTCAGAGGCAGGAACTGGTGATCTGAACAGGTAAGGGGCTTGGCCACAGAGAGAAAAGCATGGGGACAGGTTGAGGGAGATGCTTTCTGCCCCTGAAGAGCCTGGGGAAGGAGGGGTGGCGGGGAGTTCTGAGTGGACTTGGGGACGGTTGGCATCTTGGATGAGTTGGGCCCTACCCCTGGGAATGGGCATGAGAATGTGAGCTCCAGACTTCCTGACCTGGAGCTCACCCTTTTGGAGGCGTAGACAGAAGGGTCCCTGCTGAAAGGGAGACATTAGGGAGACGATGGGGTGTGGTGAAGAGGAGGAGGGGTCCGGTCTCTGGGTCTGATGCCTCCTCCAGCTCTGCGGGCAGCTCAAGAGCTCCACTTCGGCTGGATGGTCTGCACGGAGGATTGCCCAAAGGCGCTGGTGGGCGGCGAGAACCAAGAATGGCCACTGGCATCACAGTAGATGGGGGAGAGCTGCTGCTCTGACTCGTCCCCAAAGACCTCCACATGGCTGTCCACTTCAGTATACAAAGGCTCTGCCTTGGTGTCCTGGCTCAGCCAGCCGGTCATGGCCCAGAACAGGCAGATGGCCAGCAGGACCCCGGCGGCCGCGCAGAGTGCCGTGCCTGCCAGGCGGCAGGTGCCCAGAGCCTGGTTGTAGTCAGCTGCCCGCTGATCCAACACCAGGAACTCGCCCTCTCCAATGCCCTCCAGCTTGGGGGGCACGGCATAGCCAGTGGTCAGGGCTGCCACACCCAGCAGCAGAAGCAGGGTCCCCGAGGAGAGGCTGATCTGGAGAGAGGCAGACAGATTGGGAGGCAGTCAGGGCCGGTCGGGGGCCGTAGCCCAAGGGATCCCTAGTGCACCTTGGATCCCAACTGGGTTTCACGGTAAGCCCTTAAGAGATGGGAATCACGGAGCACACCTGCTAGGATGTAACACTGTCGTGTTCTGCTTGGAATCTTGAGACCTCTTAATTTCCTTCCCAGCTCCCACATAGCAGTGGGCTTCCCTTCGCAACTGAGTGCCCCTCCATCATTATGTGGGTCTTATCCCCAGTACCTCCATCTCTATCTCTCTGTCTGGTTAACTCCTACACATCCCTCAGGTATCATCTCAAACCTCACCTCCTCAGGGAAGCCTTCCAGGGCACCTCTGCACTAGGTCAAGTCACCTGCTCTGCACTCTGCAAATGCTCTGCCCATTCACTCTCCAGTGTATCACCTTGGTGCACACTAGGATACGTACTTTGGTTGCTCTGTAAGTGATGTCGGCCTGCCCCATCAAACTGAGAGCATGAGAGCAGGGACTGTGTCCATTCTGGCTCACTAGGTGTCTTCCACGCCTAGCACAGTACTAGTATAGTGTCGCAGCTGAGTGAATATTTGCAGAATAACTAAATGAACCACAGTTAGGAGCTCCTTGAGGACAGGAACCACATCTTCTTCAGTTCTGTGTCCCCAAGAGCCTAGCACACTGCCTGGCAATTAGACGATGCTTTAAAAAATGTGAAAAGGTACTGACTTTCCTGGAAACCTTCCCTGATCACCACAGGTGCTGAGAGCATTTCTTCTCCCGGCATCCTCCGCACACCTGGCCTGAGGTTGTGATTCCCTCTGCACAGGTTGGCACCTCACCTCTCCACTAGAGTAAAGCCTTGTGGAAGCAGAGGGGAGGGACTCTCTGCCTCAGTCTTCCTATAGTGCTTATCAAAGAGCTATGCCCACTGTCAGGACCCTGCTCGCTGCCACCTCCATACCTTTACCCACACAGGGTGCCCTAACTGACCACTCTACCTGGCTGATATGAGTATCAACTGTTTCTCTCACATCTTCCCCTGCCCTGGAAACAGTACCCACTAAACCACTGGGAAGCACAGTAATATTTCAGTGGAACGGACCCCCATCCCTGCCAGTCAGGATAAACAATCCCCCTGGCTACAATAATTATTTCAGGCGTGGGCAAGTGACCCAGTCTGAGCCAATGCAATACTTGCCAGGACTTCTAGAAATAAAAAGCCCTGTTTCTTTTCTGAAGGAAATACTAGAGGGGATTCTGGTTTCCCTTGGATGGTGTGGAGTAGAAGACTGAGGGGCAGCAAAGTAGCAGCTGTTGGGGGAACATGTGGGCAGAACCTGAAGCTAAGAAGTTGCCAGGATGGGGGTACCATGGGAAACCTGAAGACTGAGAGAAATCTTCAGTCCCTCAGTGTGATGGTTTGAACTGCTGGATCGAACTTAGCCTGAAGGCACACAACCTCTGACTTCTAGAAAATAAGCAATATTTTCCCTTTATAGTTTAAACTCATCCGTGCTGGGTTTTCTATTGCTTGAACACGCAAGACTTTTAACTGCTACGCCACCCCTTTTCTTTCTATCCACTGAGTGCATCTTTCCCCTGAAGCCACGGGAAATCACCGGAGTTGCTCTTCCTCCGGCCTTACCTTCCAGCACAGTGAGGGCCAAGGTCGACGGGGACACAGAATAGGAGGCCCCTCGGGGTCATCACTGAGGGCGGTACCTGCACAGTCCTCATAGAAGAGGTGCAAGTAGGAGCGGACCCCGTACCACTTGCCGTCTTCCACATTGGGGCCTGGGCCACAGCCACAGGGACGGTCACAGTTCGGCATCACGGAGTCCTGTGGGATGGGCAAGGTTCAGCGGACAGAGGGAAGGGTCCGTGAGAGCTGCCTGTGGCGACCCTCCCGGGCTCCTGAATCTTTGCGTCCCATCCACTTCTCCCATTTCAGACACGCCACACTCAGAGCACAGCCTGGCCTTCTGGAATCCTGGCCGGGGTTTCCCTCGTATACAGTGAGTGAGCCAGTGCACTGAAGGGCTCAGCCCAGTGCCTGGCAATTGGAGGTGTCAATAAAGGTGTGTGTTTGCTCTGGAGGCCACTCGTGGCTGGGGCTGTGGGTTCTGGAGCCTCGCTGTCTGGACTGGAACCCCTGATCCACCACTTCCTGGCTGTGTGACCTTACACAAATGCTTTCACTTTTCTAAGCCTTCGTTTCCTTACCTGTAAAATAGGGCTAAGGATTACACCTGCTTTGTACAGTTATTGTGCCTTCTGGTAGCTGTGGTATCATTAATACTGTAATTTCTTCATTATTTTTTTTTTTATCCTGAACTTTTTGAGCCCCATATCTGGAGTGAGAGGTCCTCATCCCCATCTTCTCTCAAAATCTCCCCCTTTTTAGGGTACCCTTGGGGATAGCTGTCCTGGCTGCAGTCAGAGCTCCACAAACAGTAAGGCCCTAAAAGACCCTTCCCCAGGGCTGCCCCTCAGAAGGCAACAACCTCCAAGTCCCAAGGAATCTTGACTCCACAGGAGGTGAAAGCCAGGGGCCCTGGGGAGTAGGGGCTCGTAGGTTCAACAGCTGTTCGCTTTCCAGAGAACCCTAAGAACCCTCTTCTCACAAATGGAGACAGTGAGGTTTCCGAGGGAAAGGCACTTATCCACACAGGCACAGCTAGAACCAAAGCCGCAGGTGCGGGCAGAGCTGAGGACGCCTGGGCATCTGCCCTCCAAGGTCGGCCCTCAGCCCCCCGGAGCAGCTTCAGGCAAAATAAAGCAGTGCTCTTACACTGAAGGGTGAGGCGAATTTCCAGTCAGATGGGCCCTCCAACCCCTGCACAAACACACACACCACGGAGACACACCAACGCAGACACACAAACACCACAAAGACATACCCAGACAGGCACCCATATTATACCACACAGAGACACATGCAGATAAACACACACAGCACAGAGAAACACACAAAAACATGCAGACACACACAAACGGACAGAGACACACGTGCAGACAGCCACAGTGTGTGCTGGGGGTGACCCTGGGAGTCCCCACGGATCCCTACAAGTCACAGGCCTGCTGTGGTTAAAGCCTGCCTATAGATTGCAGCTCTTCACAGTCCTTGCCCACAAGTCAGGCGAAAAAGAGAAAAAAATAAAGAAAAAAATTGACAGAGAATGGAAAAAGGTGGAGAGTAAAGGCTGAGAAAGGAGAGATCTGCAGGGCGGGCGGGCGGGCGGGCGGGCGGGCGGGCGGCGCTCGGGGGCGTGGCCACCGCGGGACCGCCCCGGGCTGAGCAGCGCAGTCGCGCGGGTGGGACGATGAACGGGCTCCGCGGGACAGTGCGCGTTAGCGCAGCGACCATTCACTGAAGACCCGAGCAGAGGGCAGGGCGAGGATGCGCGGCTGCTCGGCCTGCGTTAGCTCCTCCCCTGCAGCTCACTGTCCTCCTCCCCAAGTATACTGAGTCCCTGAATCCCGCTGGCCTTGGAGAGGAAGGTGACCTTGACGCTGCCTTCCCGTCGGCCTGCCCCGCCCCCCCTCCGCCCCCCTCCATCCCATGCTTGGGTTGCTGGGAGGGGGGCTGGCGGGCTGGGGGGCTGGAGGTGGGAGGGAAAGGATGCGGAGGACACCGCGTGCGCCCGGGACGAGGGTTGCCATAGGAACCTCTGGGGAGGTGCCCCTCGGCGGCAGGGGGCAGGAGCTCGCTGGTAAGGGAGCAGGAAGAGGAGGGGGCTCCAGGGTGCAGGGGGGAGACTGCGGCGGGGTGGGCGCTGGGGGGCGGGGGGAAGGCGCGCGGAAAGGTGACGTGTGCGAGGGCCGGAAGATGGATGGAGTCGCTCTTCTTTGCGGGGCCTCACTCGGAGCTCCCCAGAGCCCCAGGCCCGCCCACTCCAGGGTCCGCACGGCCGAGGCCTCGACAGGGGGCGCCCTGCTCGGGGGCGAGGCCAGGGGAATCAGGCCGCCCGCCCCCACTGCACCAGTGTTTGTGGCCCGCCCACCCATTCCCGGGCTGCGATTCACCACCTCCTTCCCCCAGAGGTAAACTGAGTCCTGCGGGGGGCGATGGGATTTTAGTGGAGGGGTGTCTCGGGGCTGGAGCTGGAGCGACCCCTGCCTGGCTGCTTCCCTGAGACATCACCTCCCGAAGCCCGAGGCACCAGGGCTGGCGCTGCCGTCCTGCCCGACGCGGGCACTGCCCGACCCGAGCTGGGGGTGCGGGCAGTGGGGGGGGTGGGCTCTCCGGGACCCCGGGGAGGGCGGGGTGGGGTCGGGCCGCGCGGAGCAGGGCTGAGCTCACCTCTGCCTGCTGTGTCCACCGAGCGGAGTCAGAGCGCGAGCGAAGCGAAAGCCGGTTGGTCGCGCCTGCGCCGCAGTCGGAGGTGGGGGTGATGCTGGGGTGGGAGCCCCCCCACACCCCCAAGGGCCGGCTCCGCAGGTTGTGGACCCTGCAGGATCACCAGCCTCTGTCCCCCTGCAGGGTTTCCTTCTCTGAGACTCCAGGCCCCTCGCGGAGACCCCACCCCATCCTGGACCACACCCCTCACTCAGTCCCCCAGACTCCTCACCCGACTCTCCAATCCCTCCTCCTGGCTGACCCCTCGCCCTCACCGAGCCTTCATCTCTTACTGCATCCTCAGTCCCTCTGCCGGGCTCATCCCTCTGGGAGCCTCACTCACCCAGTAGACGGACGCTCGTCTACCTGAGTCTCTCTCTCTCTTCCCCTCACCGCCCCCACCCATCATTGAGCCTCACCTCTCTCACTGGGTCCCTAAAGGAATTACCTTCCTCTTATATCAGGGCCCTTATCTTTTCCCCTCTTTGAGCCCCTACTCCTGGCCGGGGATCAGCCGTCCCCCCTCCCCCCATCTTGAGAAGGGAGTTGGGGTTGAGGTGTGTGTTAGAAGGGAAGGAGCCAATGAGGCAGCCTCCTTCGTTCTCTCCGAACCTACCCCTGGTTCTGCCCTGGGCGGTGTGTGCCTATAGCCCATCTCCCTGGAGAGCCAGCCTTTGCCAAGCAAAGGCGTGTTTATTTCATTCCTTGTTAAGTGGCTACAGCCTTGGTTTTGTCCCACGTTTGCTGTGTGGCCTTGGGAAGGTCACCACACCGCCCTGAGCTCCATCAGGCACCACTGCACAAATGTCTCCACATCTTTTTATTTTTTTTTAATATATTTCATTGATTTTTTACAGAGAGGAAGGGAGACGGATAGAGAGTTAGAAACATCGATCAGCTGCCTCCTGCACACCTCCTATGGGGATGTGCCTGTGCGGAGCTGATAGAGGGTTAAGCCTCTGACTGACCTCTGGGCCAAGTCACAAACAATTCCCAGCTTAGAGGGCACAGTCCTCTTAGCATAATTAGGCTTGACCTTAGGAGGTTCTCTAGATCTTATCTGGGAAGCTAATGGGCTGAGGGAAGTGCAACAAGAACAAAAACAAGTGAAACTCACAAGAACAGTGTAACTTTGGTAACCACTACCTTGTTTACCTCTCACTATAAAATAAAGGCTCAGTTTGCCTTGGGATCTTTTTCTGTGGCCTCAACCAGGCACAGGGAAGATCCATGGAGACTAAAGAGAGCTAGAGAGTTTTGAACGCTGTCTTCCGTGTAAAAACATTCTTCTCCGACTCCGTCCACACCTTTGGGAACCCCTGGACCGCTGGGGCTGGCCCCCAGCATGTGCCCACAACCAAGGTACATGCCCTTGATCGGAATCGAACCTGGGACCCTTCAGTCCGCAGGCTAACGCGCTATCTACTGAGCCAAACCGATTAGGGCTGTCTCCACATCTTGAGCGCCCATTCTGCCTCTCTCTATGCTATGGGCGCAGGGGTGAATGGGTTCTGCACATCTTCTTCCTTCACTATTGTATCCTGAGCCTCACACAGTGCTTGGCATTGAGTAGGCAGCTCAATAAATATTTTCTGAACACAGACTGATGAGAATATCAAATATATACTATGGGGCAAAAGTAGATTTACAGTTGTTCATATTAAAAATAATATAATTAATTAATTAATAATAATACAAGAATAAACCCTGCGATTTGTGTACTCACAACTATAAACCTGCTTTTGCCCCCTCCTGTATGATGCTCATTATGTGCAAAGGCTTGTCTAAGTGCTTCGCATGTATTACCTGCTCATTTAGCTCTGTGTGTGTGTGTGTGTGTGTGTGTGTGTGTGTGTGTGTGAGTGTGAGAGAGAGAGAGAGAGAGAGAGAGAGAGAGAGAGAGAGAGAGATATCCTGGAGCTCAAAATGATAGGCCTTGAGAGGCCACATGAGATCTTTCAGGGCCTCATAAGGAGTTGTCCTTGCAGAAGTGGAAAAGTCTAATGCCTCTTGAGCCCACATAAAAAGAAATGAGCTTTTAAAAGGTGCTGGGCACAGTAAAATCTATTCATTCATTAAAATGTTCCAAGGCAAAGATAAGGTTAAAGCAGCGATTTTCAACTGGTGTGCAAGAATGTTTAAAACATGCATTACCTGCCTAGCTGGTGTGACTCAGTGGTTGAACGTTTACCTGTGAACCAACCAGGAGGTCACAGTTAGATTCCCAGTTAGGGCACATGCCTGGGTTGTGGGCTCATTCCCCAGTGAGGGGCATGTAGAGGGCAGCTGATCAATGATTCTATCTCATCATTGATGTTTCTCTTTCCCTCTCCCTTTCTCTCATAAATCAATAAATATACTAGTATATATATATTTTTTTTTCTAGTATATTTTTTATTAATAAAAATATTTTGCAAAAAATAATAAAGCAAACCTAAGCACTATGTATTGAAACATTGTGGGTGTGGTTTTAGTACATGGAACTGGCTAGAGTCAAATGGGTGAGATGACTAAATTATTATTATTATTATTATTATTATTATTTAGAGAGAGTAAAAGGAAGGGGGGGGGAGAGAGAAAAACATCGATGTGAGAGAGCCACATTGATTGGTGCCTCCCACCTGTGCCTCGACTAGGGCTGGAATCTGCAACCCAGGTACGTACGTGCCCTTGACCAGGAATGGAACCTGTGACCCTTCGGTCCTCAGGCCGACACTCTAAACCAGGGGTGGGCAAACTTTTTGACTCGAGGGCCACAATGGGTTCTTAAACTGGACCGGAGGGCCGGAACAAAAGCATGGATGGAGTGTTTGTGTGAACTAATATAAATTCAAAGTAAACATCATTACATAAAAGGGTACGGTCTTTTTTTTTTTAGTTTTATTCATTTCAAACGGGCCGGGCCCGCGGGCCGTAGTTTGCCCACAGCTGCTCTAAACACTGAGCCACACTGGCCCAGGCTAAATTTTTGAGGGAATGCTTCTGCCAAAGAAATCACAAGTCTAGGATAAAAAGCTCATGGTTGTTTGAATCTCAAAACAATCGTAGCACTTACATCCATTAGCATGGCTACTATAAAAAAAAATAAAAATGCAAAGCCAGCCCTGGCCAATTTGATTCAGTGGATAGAGCATCAGCCTGCAGACCTAAAGGGTCCCGGGTTCGATTCCGGTCAGGGGTAGGTCCCTTGGTTGCAGGCTCCTCCCCGGCCTGGGCCCTGGTCAGGGCTCATGAAAGAGGCAACCAATCGATGTGTTTCTCTCACATCGATGTTTTTCTCTGTCTTTCCCTTTCTCTTCCACTCTCCCTGAAAATCAATGGAAAAATATCCTTGGGTGAGGATTAACAAAAAACAACAAATAAAAAGCAAAACCAGAAAATGACAAGCGTTGGTGAGGACTGGGAGAAATTGGAACCCTTGTGTAATGTTAGTGAGACTGTAAAATGGTGTAGCTGCTGTGGAAAACACTATGGCAATTCCTTGACAAATAAAATTAACATATGATCTAACATTCCACTTCTGAGTATACATTTAAAAGAACTAAAATCAGGGTATCTTGAAGAGATAATTTGTACCCCATGCTTATAGCAGCATTACTCACAATTCTTAATGTGAAGCAACCCAAATTTCCATTCGATGGATAAACAAGATGTGATCCTATATAACAAAACCCTAGCCCTGGCTGGTTTGGCTCAGTGGATTGAGTGTTGGCCTGCGGACTGAAGGGTCCCGGATTCGATTCTGGCCAAGGGCGCATGCCCAGGTTGCAGGCTCGATCCCCAGTAGGGGGTGTGCAGGAGGCAGCCGATCCATGATTATCTCTCATCATTGATGTTTCTATCTCTCTCTCCCTCTCCCTTCCTCTCTGAAATCAATAAAAATATATATTTTAAAAAAACCCTAATATGCAAATCAACCAAATGGAAAAACCAGTCGCTATGATGTGCACTGACCACCAGAAGGCAGACGCTCAATGCAGGAGCTGCCCCCTGGTGGTCAGTGCACTCCCACAGGGGGAGCGCTGCTCAGCCAGAAGCCGGGCTTATGGCTGGCGAGCACAGTGGTGGTGGCAGGAGCCTCTCCCTCCTTCCACGGCATTTGGACATCCCCTGAGGGGTCCTGGACTGGGAGAGGGCACAGGCCAGGCTGAGAGACCCCTCCTCCCTCCAGTGCACGAATGTCGTGCACCTGGCCTCTATTATATACATACAATGGAATATTATTTAGCCTTGAAAAGAAAGGAAATTCTGACACGCTATAAAATGGATGCACCTTGAGGACATTATGTTAAGTGAAGTGAGATAGTCACAAAAAGACAATATAAATTCTGCTTATATGAGGTACCTAGAATAGTTAAATTATAAAGTCAGAAAATAGAATGGTTTTTGCCAGGGGCTGGGGGAAAGGGGAAAGGAAGAGTTTTTTAATGGGCACAGAGTTTCAGTTTTGCAAGATAAAAAGAGTTCTGAAGATGGATAGTGGTGATGGTTGCACAACTATGGACTACTTGCCACTGATCTCTGCACCTAAAAATGGTTAAGGTGCTAAATGTCATATTATGTGTATTTACCACAATTTTTAAGCATCAAAATATTAAAAGGAGGAGGAGAAAAAGGAGATCATCCTAAGGTTCTCAAAAGTTTATAGGCAGGAAGTGGACGGGAAATGCCGTGGGCCTCCCCAGGCAGCTCTGGGTCCGGTTGCCTTCCAGCCATTCCTTGCTCTTTGCTCCGGCTGCGTTTCCCAGCCACCCTTGTCAGCGGGCATCCAGCTGAGCTCAGCCAAGAGGAAGAGGCAGGATAGGAGGCTGACAGGAAAAAGGGAGAAGCCACAATTTTCCTGCCCTTCTTCCTCAGCTTCTCTAGCCTCGCCTGACTGATGCAACCACCTCATCTGAAACAGCGGCCGCTCCTCACACTTCATCCCCTTCACCACGTGACATTATTATATACATTTACATATTGACATATTGTGTGTTTTCATCCACTAGCGTGTAAAGCTTCAGAAAGGCAAGGACTATGTCTGTTTTGCTCACTGAAGAATTCCCAGTCCTTAAGACAGTGCCTGGCACAGAGCACTCAGTAAAGATTTGTTGAAAGAGTGAATACATTTAGCAGTTGGATAAAATACACACAAGAGAAGGGGGAACGCCCTAAGGAACACCTGACAGGTATTCAGAATCTGCATTCAAAGCAGAGAGGGCAGGTAACTTAAGTCACACAGTCAATCCTTCAATGACCTCAACCCCAGACTTCTTCCCATTCTGGGTTGGTATCCAGGTTTCTAAAGAGATCCTTAGTGTAAGGTATTTTTTTGGCTAGAAGAAGCAGAACTTGACATTCATTTAGTTAACAGGAAATCCCGAAAACAACCGAGAGTGAAAAATTAAGTTGCTAA